ATACGCGGAAAGTATGACACATTTGATGATACTTTAATTGGGAATCGAATGAAGGAAAACGTTGAACTTACATGAAAAAAAAAGAAACGATGCATAATTTCTGTAAATATTTACAAGAAAATTAACTTCCAGCCACACTACTTTCCTCAAACACACTTTGAGCAAAACCGCAATATCATTGAGTGAACATGGAGGAGGATTCTCTCAGAAGATCTTTATAATGACTGCTACTAGATCATTTCCACTTGAACATACCAGTACAACTTCAGAGCTGCAGTTAAGCAGGATGGTACCACCTCCTCCTACCCAGTTAAACCCTATTAAATTTGTGAAGCCATGGCTGCTGAAAGAAAATCATTCTGCGGGGTATACCAAAAGCAAGAAGCGATTTAAAGCAGACTGTTGTTAGTCAGTGCCAGATTGGCAGAAGGAAGGTGATGCTGACATCCCTTACCAAGGATATAAGGCTATGGAAATCCCGTAGACCACACTAGGGAAGAGAACGGTGGCTAGATGCACCAAGGACGCACAAGGAACTATACTGGCCACCCTGGACAGGACAAAGGAGACAGAGGAGTTGATTAGGAAGATTATGGATACCGGAGAAGGGACTGCTGTGGACCTCCCCCATGATATCAGGATCTTTGTGGACATCAGCCGACCGGAGGTAACCATGGTGGTGAAAGGAGTGCCTTCTTTGGCTGAGGACGAGGAGAGGACCCGGGTGTGGAGTTCATGGAGATGTCCAGGCTGAGCACCACAGAGGGCAAGCTGACCACGGTACTCAAGGTCGGGTGTGAAAGAGAAGGAGTTCATGAAAAGGTAATTTACCAAGGTACGGTTAAATATTGTGAGTTGTTTGTCTCTGCCCCACTGTGAAAAATGCTGACGTTTCTTCCACAGCAGGAGAGACTGTAGGGCCAAGATGCCACCATAAAAATTTTGTGGGGGCTAACACTGGGCAAAGGACTGCATCAAGGCCACAATATAAGGAGAGGAACCCTAACAGGAGCTGCGTTAACTGCAAACTGAACCACAGTGCCAGATACCTAAATTGCCTAGAGAGGAAGATGGCAATAAGCATCTGGAGGGAGGTTATTACGACTCAGACAATGGTGGCAATGGTAAAATGGAGGCACCACTAGAGGGACAATGCAGCTAAGCCATCACAGGAATTGGAGAAATCAGGATGGTGAACAGGTGCTGTGAACCATAACCAGCCAGTGAGGGAAACAAGATGAGGATTTGAACCAAGGAGCAGCAGGACTTAGCAATGAAGAGGTCAGCAGTCCACCCAGGACAGTCCCAACAGAAAAAGCACAGCTCTCGAATCTCGAACCCACACAGTCTCACCATCCCCCAGCAGCACCCTCCCCTCCTGGAATGTGCCCTCACTCCACCCCCGTCTGCCACTCCCCACCCTGCTTTGGCAACCACCCCACCCCCTCTCTGCCACTCCTTACCCTGCTGTGGCACCCACCCCTTCCCTCTGTCACTCCCCACCCTGCTATGGCACCCTCCACCCCCCCCCCCCCCCGCTCTGCCACTCCCCACCCTGCTGTGGCACCCACCCCTTCCCTCTGCCGCTCCCCATCCTGCTGGCCCAGCTTCCTCCAACCCCAGTTCCTCCCTGGATGCTCATGCACCAAGCTCACAGCTGGAGGCCTGTCTGCATGTCAACCACCCTTCGTCTATCACTCTATGACTATCCCGATATTTATGTACCATGTGGAGATTGACCAAATGCTACATGAGAAATTAGACTATTATAAATAGCTGGATAGCGTTGCACTACGAAGAAACAGACTGGCGAAAACAGTGCAGGACATTACTGAAGAACGTGCTAGGATGGGAAAGGAAATGGACAATCTAAGGAGAGAGCTGGAAACACAGAGACTTGCGGAACAAACAGGACAGGCGAGGCAAGGAGAGGACCCAAAAGACTCCAGAAACTAAAGCAATGCCTATTGATAGAGCAGATCTTTATAAGAGGAATAAAGATCTGGAACCCTTATCGTTTAAGATGAACTTCGACTAGAGGATGAGTCAGTCCAGCCAGCAAGGAGGAATTACTGACGGTGCAGGGACAATGAGGAAGGCGAAAGCAGGTAAAGGCATCAACAGATCTTCTAAAGTTCCCCCCCCCCCCCTTTTCAGACCCAATGTACCCAAATCCGCACATCACCAACCACCTCCAGCTTTACCTTTCCGACTCAGACATGAAACCTTCAGGCAACCTGTAAGACCTGCCGCTACCCTACCTGACACCAGTGGGCCCCACCCTCAACGACTATCTACCAACTTACCCTATTCATGTAGCCCACACCGCTACCGAGCTTACCCACTCCTTGACCACGCCCGCCATTACTCTCAGCACCATGCTTCCCACCAGCGCATCCCACACCCCGCCCGCCCTCATCCTCAGCACCAGCCTCCCCAGTCCTATGCCCCGCCCCAGCGCATTCTACACCACCCCCGCGCATTCTACACCACCCCCGCGCAACCACACTTACCCCCGCCCACATGTGCATAAATATTAAATGTTGTTTTGTCACGGCCTAATTAGATAAATAATAAGCTAAAGATATCAGTTAGTTAAACCCAAACAAAACTAAACCAGACACATAAAATAATCAAAATACAAACCTAAAGTAGTAAATAAACTAGACCTGCTGATAACTCAGTTCAACTGCAGAGGAGCTAAACTTAAATTGCAAGCAATAATGTCAGATTTCCAGGGCAAGAGTGATATACTAGGGCTTCGAGAAACTAACCTAAAAAAAAAAAAAACCTTTAAACTCCTAGGATATACAATTTTCATAAGTGCTAGAGACGTAGGTAAGGGTTGTGGCGATGCAATCCACATCAATAAAGAAATAAGAGAAATAGCTTTGGATAAATTTAAATCGACCAACTTTGAAAGGATATGTGTAGAAATAGCGTGTAAACCAGGAAACCTAAAGATAATTAACATCTATTAGCCAAGAGGAGAGATAGAGGAGAACGACATTAAAGAAATAGAGAACATGATAACCACTAACACAATAATCGTAGGCGACTTTAACTGTTCACACCATTGATGGGGTGGTAGAATCAAAAGTTTAGCAGGGAAAGATCTATTAGATTTTATTGAAGATAATCAGCTGACAGAACTTAATGACGGATCGATGACAAGGATTAATCTAGTTCAAGAAAATTGAGACTCGGCTTTTGACCTTAAAATAGTAGGCCAGAGTTTAGCTGGGAGTGAATGACAAATCTTGGAGGACACTTCCAGTGACCATCTTCCAATTATAACGAGAATCAAAACCCAACCAACAAAGTATAAAACTAGTAACAAACCCACTTTTAACATTTTTTAAAGCCAAATGAGACAAAGTTATAGACAAACTAAATAACACAGTTGGTTAGAGCAGAAGGTATAAGCATAGATACTTTTGCTGAAAGAATGACTAATATATTACTAAAAAAACAGAAGTAAAAAATTTCCAATTAAAAACATGCCATCCCACTTAGCTGCTCTAGAAATTACCGATAATGAGGACAGCTAGGACGCTAGAGGCGAGCATTAGGTTTATCCCTCAAATCACTTCATGGAGACTATAACTGCCTAGGACAGACATGAGTCTGATGAAAAGCATTAATAAAAATACTGATCTGTTCGAAGCCAAAAAAATAACAGAAGAATACATAGACCAGATCCGATCAGACAGTCTGGTAGCAATACGGATGGGTCTAAGAACGAAGCAGGAGAAGTAGAATCATGAGTAATTATCCCTCAATGGGGAATGCAAACAGAATATAAAATAACAGATCATGTCGCAGTGTCAACAGCAGAACTAGTCGGCATAATGAAGGCACAAGAGATGATTATAAATAAACCTCCAACAAAATTGTCCATATTGACAGATTCGTTGCGTTCAGTGCAGACGTTAAAAACTCATAAAACTAGCAGTAGACCAGATATAAAAGAAAAGATGTTAAACATAACAAACCAACTCGAGATCAAAAGAATGCCAAGTCACCATTGCATGGGTACCAACTCACAAAGATGTAATAGGCAATGAGAAAGCTGACAAAGCAGATAAAAAAAAGAGCTAACTGTAATGCTGTAGTAGAAGTAGGACTCAGAAAAACTAAAAGGAATAGCATAATCAAAAGACATATCATTAAAATGTGGAAACTCCAGTGGTAGATGAGCACTAATGGCAGAGATGCATATAACAACCTTAAAGAACCCAGCCTAAACACACAGATAAGGGACAAACTAAATATCCCAGCAAACAAACTATTATGGAGAGTTAGGTTAGGGTGGCATCCAGAGAAATTTACATCGCCCCTATGTCTGGACGGTTTTTAGGATAATACAGTAGAACAGTATATGATAAACTGCACTAAATACAAAGTGGAGAGTAAACCCATTGAGGGGTATTTTCTAAAAAGGAAAAAAAAAAAGATAAACAAATGTTTATAGAGAGTCAAAATGGAGAGTCACATATGAAAGAGAATACATGTGTACGGAATGACAAATAGGTATGCATACACGGATAAGTATGAAAGGAAGTGCAAACATGTAGTGTTGTCTGAGTGTATGAATGCTCGAGTGTATGTACGCATACACTTAGTTGTATGCGTCCATATATTCCGGGGATTTATACTCAAAACCATTTGAAGCGTGGGTGCTACTGTGATAGACACTTCATAGTGAGTGCTAGCACCATTCTTCTAGTGGAAAAATGCATGTGTGTGTGTGTGTGTATATATATATATATATATATATATATATATATATATATATATGCGTGTATGTTTGTGTGTGTGTATATATATATATATATATTGTGTGTTTGTTTGTGTGTGTGTGCGTGAAACCACAGCAGCACACAGTAATATGCTGACAAAACGAATAAAAATAGATAAAAAATACAAATGCGTAAGAGGATAAAGTAATGACGAACAGAAAATCTAAAACGAGAATCACAATGCCATTAAGTGTTATTTCAAACATTGTGGAAATAATACTCATTTTCCATTTTCAGCAGCTCTTCGTCATTAAGATTTCCAGCGGCAGCAAACTCCTCCAGTTCAAACTTTCTCTTAACAAAACAAAAATATTCCACGAGTTTACTGCCCATTGCTTCTGTAAGAACAGTATCAGCCTCTAAGGTCCGAAGGGCAGTCTCTAAGTCAGTTGGAAGCATGCATTTGGATTCATAAGCTTCAGGCAATGGAAGTTTTCTCTTGATTCCATCGATGCCGGCTGCGAGTGTACATATGAGCACTAGGTAAGGGTTGCTAGCGCCGAGTGGAATTCTGTTCTCAATATAAATGTTGTCTTGGCCTTCTATCTTGAGTCTGAAAGCTGCTGAACGTTCCCCGACACTCCAGCTAGCTTCGTGGGGTACATGGAACATGCTTGTTGTCCTGCATTAGACATATTTATTAAAAAAAATTAATAAATCAGACAAAAGTATAAATGAACTACATGTGCAGTGTAAATCAACTCTGAGTGAATTTTGAGACATTGCTGGCACTTGTCAAATTTTGAATTAGGAATAACATCATAGCATGCAGGACACCGATATAAGCGCTCCGTCCCTATCTTCAGCAGCAAGCGAAGAGTTCCAGTTCCGAAGGTACAATGGGACCTCACTTAACGAGCATAATTCGTTCCAGAATCATACTTGTTAAGCGAAACACTCGTTATGCGAAGCAATTTTTCTCATATAAATTAATGTAAAATACGATATCGAAAAAAATACTCACAAAATGCTATGTATAAGTTATACTATAACATTTATTCAAAGAAAATTGTGTACATTTTTAAGGAGAGTGATGTAACATGCGCACAATCCAGGACTTCCCCTCTCCCCGCCACTCGTTATGCGAAACGTCGCTGGTTAGGCCAGTCATTCTTTTACAATTTGTTTTGCTCGTTATGCGAATTACTCGTTATGAGAGGTACTCGTTAAGCGAGAAAATTATCGAGAATGCTGCACAACTTTATCATTAAATAAATTTGCAACGCGCATAGCCACTTCCATATTAGGATGATGCTTCTCAATGTAAGATGCAACAGTTTGCCATGCTTTCAGCATTTTTCTTATTTCAAAGAACATTGTTGCTTTTCTGTTACCTTCTCCTCCTCCTCTGACAAACTTTTCCTCCTAAAACTTTTTGTTGTGAAACACAATGAAACTCCATAAGCTTTTAGGTCGTCAGCTCTTGGCTGTGCTCTTCCGCAAGCTCTTCGATATCACTGTTATCCACCTGCAATGCCATGATAATGGCCAAAGACGCAATTTAGTTGTCTACAGATTCCACAGGTACCGTCTCGAGCTCCTCAAAGTCACTAATCGACAACGCTCTCCGGCCAAAGCTTCTTCCAAGCAGAAGTTAGGGTTCTCTTTGTAACCCCTTTCCCAGCCTTGTCGGTCATCTTGAGGCAGGCAACGATGTGGAAGTGGTTTTTCAAAAACTCTTCGAGAGTGAGGTTGGTCCCTTCAGTAACCTGAAAACAATGCTCCAAGAGTGCTTTAGTGTAGAGCTTCTTAAAGTTAGAAATAACTTGCTGGTCCACGGGCTGGAGTAACGGAATCGTGTTGGAAGGCAGAAACTGGATTTTGATAAACTTAAATTCTTCAGGGAGGTCATCTTGTAGGGGTGGAGGATTCATGTACATATATCACAATATACCACAAGTTTGAGAAAATGTGTGATCACAAACGACACTGCTGGAACGAGTGCTAAACACAGACTGTTTAACATGAGCACAATCCTGGACTTCCCCTCTCCTCGCCACTCGTTACGCAAAACGTCGCTCGTTAAGCAAGTAATTTTTTTTTTAAAATTTGTTTTGCTCGTTATGTGAATTACTCGTTATGAGAAATGCTCGTTAAGCGAGCTTCTACTGTATTTGTATTGTAAAATATATATGTTTATGGGTTATCTTTACAATCACTAGCAAAAGTTAAAAAAAAAAATTATTTTCAAGTCCTACTTAAAAAGGCATGATCAGATACACAACAAGCAAGACACACCTGTAACAGTTAATAGTAGGACAACAAAATGCTGTCATCGCCGGGGCGTGCTCTATCAAGCCGGCTAGCCAATGACACCCAAGATCAGACAGATTGTTGGGTTTACTGGTGTCAAGAAAAGCGTTTTTGCCAGATGGAGTCCACAAGGAGTGGTTGAAGTGAAATGTTAAACAATCTTCCCTTCTGCTAGCCATTGCTGACATAAACGTGGCCTCATAACCTCTAGATTTCATGAATCGTTTGATGATGTTTTTGAACTGTACTGTTTTGCGGATTGCCTGAAAAAAAGGGAAGAGATGATGTATTACTAAGTACGGAAACATAGTTTATCCCAGGCAAAGTTTCAAACCTGTCGGAATTCAGTCCTCTCCAAACTGCCATTTGCCTATTAGCTCATTATCCCTCTAACAATTAACAAGCCTGTACCACGAGTAGGTGTATTTGGCTTGTGTGGTGGCGAAACAATAGCACCAACTCGTGAATCTCCCTCCAACTTGTTTGGCTATGTGATCATTATCGGTTTCACGGACTGTGCTATGTTGTAGGGGTATTATAAGATGTCTTCCTTCGTTGTCTACGCCTAGCGTGCCGAGAAGTGACTCGGGTTCTTTCGACGATGTCAACACCCCGTCTCCCCTGACAAAACTACGGAGCTTTCTTTTCGCAGCTCTCTTTTCTGTGAACGAATATTGTTTCTGTAATGTGTTGTTGTGATTAGGTCTCATGCGCCACAGGCGACTGTATGCAAGAAATAAGTACAGGAGGGGGGATAAGCGCCGAAGTCGCGAAGATTTGAGATTAGAATCACTGACACTTTGTATTTTTACACTCGTTGGGGGAATATGTCGTCGGTGATAGTGTGCTTAAAATGTTCAAAACAAGCAACACATGACACTACTAGAACATAGGGCAGCCGGTGGGATCCGATTCAAAGTATCGCAACTGAGACGGCGGGATATTCGTGAGTTGTACCCTGTCTAATATTGGGAAAAGGGAGGGGGGGGGGGGTGTTACCCTTATTCGAGAGCTAAATGCTGCATCTACTGGTGTGACCACAGAAAAATAAAACAGGGATTCAAAACGTTCACACTGTACGATCCTCATATATTTGTAAAAACTCTAAAACAATAATCAAGTGCATTGAATCGCCACCGATGAAAAAAATTAAATACAATGTTAACAGTAACTTGGTGACAAACTACATTTACTGTTAGGGACTATACAATTAAATAAAGGATCATTTTGCCGCCTTTCTCTGTTGTAAACTTTAGTCTTTCTCTACTTATTCAGCCCTTTAGCTGACCGGTATTTGCCTATTTATCCCATACCGTCCTAACCTTCCTGAAGCACTAATTTAGAATTCTTTTTGTCTTCGGAATCGTCATCATAAAGTGCTTTTTCAGCTGACATATGCGTTTATGCCTCGCCACAGATCTCGGTCTTTTGTGTTCTAGATGAATTCTACTTATGCTATTCCTCCATGCCGCTGTCTTAAGTCATCCACCATCATTTCTCTTGGTCTGCCTCTGTCTCTTCTACCAGTGGTCTCTCTAGCTGTCACAATATTTTCCAGGGCTCATTTTCTCATCACATGACCAAAGAACTGTGTTTTTCTCCTTTTCATTGATGTATATAATGTTCTATTTTAATTAGCCATTTCCAGGCATTAAATGTTGGTTATTTTGGTAGTCCAATGTATTCTCAACATTTTTCTCCAGAATCACATCTCAGTAGCCTCTAAACTCTTCTTAATTTGTTTGCTCACATTTCAAGATTCACTACCATACAACAGAACAGGCTCCATATAAAATTTCAATACTCGTTTTCTGATGTTTAATGAGAGTGATTTATTACATAAAACACTTTTCATCTTCTGAAAGGCTGCCTTTGTCTAGCTAATTCTGCTCCTTATTTCTGTCTCACATCGTCCATCTGATGTTATGAATGTTCCCAAATACTTGAATTTATTCATTTGGTTAAGTACTTTCCCTTCAATTGCTATTTCACATTTCGGGGTTATCTTCTTTTTTGATATAACTAGTGTTTCTGTTTGATGACATTTAAGAAGAATTCCTTTTTGCACTCTAGTAAAACAATGTCTAATAGTTGAAGATCTTCTGCGTTTTCAGCTATTAACACTGTATCATCTTCATAACAAAGATAGTTTATATTATAACCTCCAACTAGTGGTCCTAGTCATGAAAAGTGTTTGGAAAAATGCCAGTAATTCAGTAATTAAGTCCTGGTCGTTCGGAAAAAGTCGTACGGAAATCTAGACTTTTTTATCTTCTCTCATATTACCCCATGGAGCAGAATGAACTCGCGCCATGTCATTCTATCTTGTTATCGCATGTAATTCACCCTATTACCTCCCAAATCTTTCTTTATTTAATTCTCTAAAGCTTTTATCTATGTATGTATGCAGGTAGCGGTTTTACTTTTTTTTTTTTTTTTTTGTCTTTGACCTTGAGGGTTCCAGTGAAATGACATTCTAGATGTAATTTTATGCGATTTTCTCAGTGTTTTCTGCTCTTTTCAAAATGTGTTACTCAGTTTAACGGTCCCAACCCCCATCTAAAGCTCCACATTATTTATTCTTTGTACAGGTTATGTCCTCTAATCTGTGTGTTCTGTTCTTCTAATAAAATTTTGTTTAATTATTTTCCAAAGCTCTGCATTTGTCATTCTTCACACCGCTTATTGTCCTCGCATCTGTGCAGGCAACAAGTATGGCAGCGGTTCTTAAACTTTTTTCGCTGCGGCACCCTTGTCGGCCTTAGAAGAATACTAAATTCCAAATGGTCAGATTTCCGAACAAATACACAAATAAGGCAAGAATCCAGGCAAGAGTATGTGTCTAATTTTATACGAAAACGCCGCTGGAACTATGTCGGCCACGCCCTTAGAATGGATAAATCAAGACTTCCTTACCAAGCCCTCATTTGGACACCACAGGGGAAAAGATCTCGTGGAAGACCAAGGGAAAACCTTACGTAGAACTATCATCAGGGAAGGCTCGCTCATGGGCCACTCAAACATCCAAGACCTACAACGGATTGCAACGAACCGCCATGCATGGAGAGTCATGACCTCTGCCCTATGTGCCGCACTCGACACAAGAGGAAAGACTAACTAACTAACTAACCCTTGTCGGGCTAAAAACAAGTTCGCGGCATGCCTACCCTCAAAGCGGTTGAATACTTAGGGAAAGGATAAAAATAAATTAGTTATGTTTACTTGTCTTTAATGCGATGAAGGAAACTGTTTGGATGCATTTTGCATTATATCCTCTTCATTTTCATTTGTAGAAATTCTCTCCACCACGGATGACCCTGTCTGAAGAGAGAAGATTTTTTTTTTAATCCTTTATTTATTAAATCAGAATGATTTTTCCATGTCTCAGTAATTTAGACAGATCCAAGCAACTGTCAGCAATACTTCTATGGCAGTTAACACATTGCCCTCCTGGTGCATGTTTGTTCCCAACAGAAACAAAGCGAACCAAAGAACGGGAGCTAGGATAATATTTTCTTAGCTTTCCTGGGATTTTCTTTTGGTCGCGAGTTGTTTTTCCGCGAACTGAGGCAGACCAGCATGGGTGGCTTTAGTCGGCAGGTGTCTGCTGATACTATATAATAATAACCTCACTTTTAGACTGCACTTTAATGAATTCAGGTAGATTATCGGTCGCACCTCGAGATAAATACAAGGACAATTCTTAGCGAAACAGTTGGGATTTTATGCAGTATGAAACACGGGTGAGTGTAAAACAAACAATTAACTCTTTTTTGACAGCGGCGAGGGAAAACAACTTGAATCTTAAATATTAAGTATACGCATGCCTTCTTTAATCATTTCAAATGTTTAGCCAACTTTTCTTGAATACTGCAGCGGCACCCCTGGCATATGCTCGGGCACCAAGTTTGAGAACCTCTGAAGTATGGTACGTGTAATCGTCACGCCTATTCTAAGCAACTGTAACGAGGACTGGATATGTGGTGGGGGTGCAAACATAGTAGTGCTGCGATAAAAGCATTACACAAGCCAATAGCTGATATAAGTTCATGAACTTCGTATTCAAGTTTGCAGAAGACTAAATTCTTCTAACACCAGCCCTGATTTCTTTCTTCCTGCAACAGTGCCAACATTTTAGACTGTCCTTCGCTAACTTATATACGTTTTATATATGATTTTGTCTCAACTTTATACTCATGTAATTTAAAACTAGCCGTATTATTGCAAGTTCAACATATTCAACTAATAAAAGTCACATTCTGACTTATTCATTACATGTAATCTTTTTTTTTTTTAAATCCAAATATGTTGAGTAATTTCTAGATTTTCTGAATACCTTCATAAATCATGTCCAAAATTTCCTCAACTCATCACGTCATTTTATATTCACATTGTTTATGTTTATGTTTATTCGACAGATCATCATCATGGCACAAGGGTCTATCACATAAGTGCTCTGTTCTACCTCTGACTGAAGTCTGAGTCTAAAAAATCTCATCACAGTGCACGAAGATCCTGAAATACTTTATTCGATTTTTAACTGAAAATTTTGAACGGACAGCGCCGTTAGCCTCCTCTTTTCGATTTCCATTTGACAAGGGAGTTTTTTCGTACGCAAAAAAAAAATACACGGTCGTCGATCTTACTACCCAGAGACCAGTGGAAATTACTAGAAGTCCAGGTGAAAAAATCCCACCCTTAACCGGGGCTTCGACCTGAGACCCCCTGTACTTGGGGCGAACACCACTCAGTTTCTTCCCCTCTGCGCCCTGATTTACATTGAGCCAACTGAAAAACAAAATACACGGATGCTATATAGTGTCATGTATACTTAAATATAATTTACAACTATCACAAAGTATGTGTGTGTAAATGTGTGTACGTGTATGTGCGCGCACGAGCACAAATATCAGGCTTGAGCTATGTCTGACAACATATTTACTAGAAAATACCTGAAGGCCTTCGGCAACTACAAGGGTAAATTCAAATTCCCCAAATCCATTTTCAGTCTGCACCGAGTCAACTTTTATGCCTCTCTCGAGTAGTTCTTGCATGAAATCGAACATCAGGCCCTGGCAAGGTATGGTTAATATTATATTATTATCATAAAGCAATATTATTGTCATTATAGTTAATGACAGGTAGCAGCACAAATAGCTATATAGAGACTACAAAATATGTAGCAAATGGCAAATAAAAGCAAACAAAAGCTGAAGGAGAGCAATGAAAACAATACAGGGTATGGAGATTACAGCAGCTAACAGTATATTTTGTGTGTATATATATATATATATATATATATATATATATATATATATATATATATATATATATATATATATATATATATAGTTAAATGTCCTCTAAAAGTACTGGGGAGTTTTGGGAAATGTCATTCTGTTAGCAGGAGCATCACAGAACAGGGCACTCACTTGCCCTAGCAATTGAACGGTTGCTGAAGGCTGACAACGTAGTCTGTGGGCATGTACATGTGGAAAGCAATGGGGAAACTACAACATTGCTATCCTACGAAACTCATCACGGAAGCCAAAAATGACTTAGCATCGTTGGGAGAGATCTAGAAAGATAAAAAAAATAGATATACTAGGAATTTCTGATCATAGATGGGCGGGTCAAGACCATTTTGCGACTCAAAAAAGGAGATACATTTGTTTATTCAGGAAAGGAAAAAAGTGGTTTGAGCGGGGTGGGTTTTCTGATGACAAGAAAAGTTTTTTTTTTTTTTTTCAAACCTGCTTGGAAGTAATCCGATCAGAGACCGAATTCTTACTGCCAGACTTAAGTCAACGAAAAGAACCATCACAATTATTCAAGTCTATGCCCCAACATCTGCATTGGAGTAAGACGAAATATATATCATAGAGATAGAGATATCATAATAATCACGGGCAATTTTGACGCAAAAATTGGTGGAGGTAGAATAAAGGAAGTGGAAACAGTCAGAAGCCCTTTCGGCAAAGGAGACAGAAACGAGAGTGGGGAGAGATTGATCGAATTATGTATGGAAAAGAATATGTGTATTACCAACACACTATTTGAACAACACCCAAGAAGGCTCTACACCTGGACTTCACCAGATGGAAATAGCAGGAACCAAATTGATTACATTTTAATACAACAAAAATGGAGGACATGTATAACATCTGCAAAGACACTCCCTGGAGCTGACTGTGACACTGATCACAACCTCCTTGTAGCAGAGTTTAAAATAAAACTAAAAAAATTGTTGAAAGGGGCTAAGCCAATACGTTATGATTTAAATAATTTACTAAATGATTACAGCATTGGGGTTAAAAACAAATTTGAGGCACTCATGGCAGTGCAGGAGGATATGACACCTAATGAGTTTGCCGATGAAGCAAGAAACATTATCATTACACCAGCTCAGAACATGATTCCTAAAAAAAAATCACACAAGAAACAGATTTACATTACAGAAAAAAACTTTCAAGCTGGTAGAAAAAAAGAAGAAATTTAAAGCAAGTAGGACAGAAACAAATAGCCATGTATATAGGAACTACACGAAAGAAATCAGAAGAGCTATCAAAGAAGATTTAAAAAAACAGTTTATTATGAATATCTGTAATAGTATTGAACAACTCCAGATGCAAGGAAGAGACATAAACATGTTTAATGAAATTAGAACATTGAAAGGCGAGTTCAGGCACTCTTTTCATGTAATAAGTGATAAAAACGGTAACACATTAACGAAAACCAAAGACGTATTAGAAAGATAGAAGAATATTGTTTAGAAATGTATGAGGATCCGACAAGTAATTTAAAAACAACTTATACAAGTTATGAAAAAGAACCAGAGCTTTACTGGATGAGGTACGATCAGCAATACACAGCCTGAAGAAAGGGAAGTCACCAGGCTGCGACAAAATACCAGCAGAACTAATTAAATCAGGAGGAGAGGCCAGCGTCCGAAACTACCATGTACTGTGCTCGAAGATCAGGAACAGTGGCATTAGGCCTAAAGAGTGGAAAAGAACAGTCTATTTCCCTCTCCCAAAGAGATGAAATCTGAAACTATTCTCCAACTACCGTACCATCGCATTGTTAAGTCATGCTAGCAAAATTCTCTTTCGAATTATCATGAGGATTAAAAGGAAATTACAATATTAGCTACATGAAGCACAAGCGGGTTTCAGACAGGGCAGAGGAACTAGGGATCACATCTTTAATATGAGAATAATTTTTGAAAAATGTAGAGAATCTTCATGCTTGTTTTATTGATTATAGCAAGGCATTTGATTGTGTCCAACATCAGAAACTGTGGACGATTACGAGAAGTATATGGTTTCCAGAGCATTTGGTGTATTAAATTAACAATCTTTATTATGAACAACAGGCAGTCATCAGAACAGCTGGCGAAACATCAGATTGGTTCGAGGTGCAAAAGGGAGGCAGGCAGGGGTGCATTCCCTCACCATACCTATTCAATATATATGCAGAAAATATAATGAGAAATGTCAAAAATGACCAGACTGGTGACGGTTATGATCCGCTCAAAATTGGTGGCAACCCTATTCCGGAACTTCGCTACGCAGATGACACAGTCCTCCTTTCGAACAGCATAAAAGGAATAAAATATTTAATAATGTCTGTCCAAAAGCACAGTAAAGATCAAAATCTGTTCTTGAATTTAAAGAGAATGAAGGTAATGTCCACAGATAAAACTTGCTGTCACCCAAAAATAACAATAAATGGTGAAGAAATTTAAAATGTCACAAAATGTGAATATCTAGGCTCTATAATAAATAGCAATGAAGACTGTTTTACAGAAATTAAAAGGAGGATGGCCAAAGCGATGCAGAGATTAAACGGCCTAAAAAGTGTATGGCTAAGCACCAGCAGGGAGATCAAAATTATAATTTTGAGAGCACGCATCTTCCCTGTAGCAACATACGAATGTGAGTCGTGAACTATCTCCCAGTACTTAAGAAAGAGAATAGGGTCTTTTGAGCTGAAATGCTATAGAAAGATTCTCAGAATATCTTGGACAAAGAAGAGGAGAAATACTGACATCTTGAAAGATCTAAACATCAAGGAAGATTGGCTAATAAACAGCATCCTGTCTCGAAAGCTAAAATATTTTGGTCATATCAAGCGCCACAACGGATTGGAAAAATTATAGGAGAATGCATGGTACCAGGAAGGAGAGGCAGGGGGCGACCAACACGAAGATGGGCACAGGATATAAGTGACTCCTTGAGTATGAAATTAAATGACGCGGAAGAGCTGACGAGAGGCCGAGTCTCTTTTAGGTAGTCCGTGATGAGAGCGACGTTCTGCAAAGGACCTGCTACATGATGATGAAATAGTTCAATAAAAGCTGTAGTCTGTGAATCTAGTTGCAGACAATAGCACTTATAGATAAAAAAACACTACAGTCTGTCTATTAGGCTATTGACAGCTGGCAGCATAAATGGCAAAAATATACTTTACTGTGAAAAACTTGCACATGTAAAGTACATTTTACAGGACGAATTCTAGAAATTAAGTAAAAACCGCTAAGTTCTAATAACGCTTGTAATCTCAGACTTTTTATGTTAATTCTCCCAGTCTTAGTTATTAACCCCTCATATCCTATATAATCTCTGACTGTATTGATTACTACTGTATCTCCGTGTTATCACAGAACAAAACAAACAAAAAACTGTTTGAGACAGAAACAAAAAAAGCTGAATATGTGAGAACCAATAAACCCCATTATCTTCGTCTTTGTCTTCTACGTTTGACGGCTGTCGATGTATTCCTGCCGAAAGTCCTGGATGTTTGCTCACTATCCTTTGGTCTTGTTCTAGAGAGGGAGTGTTCTCGTACAATTGTTTTTCATATCTGGCTTCTTTATGTGCAGGCTGTTAGTTCCTTGTGCACTCTTTCCTTTGTTCATTCTGCGCAAAACATTCTCCTGCAACCGCCAAAGGCGAGGGGCCTGGAAAAAAGGGGAGGAGGGGGGAGGTTTCCACGTGGTTTGAGGTGATAATTCAGTACCAAACATTAACTGGTAACTCTCAACATAAATACAGTAACAAACGTCTTCTGTAGCTGTCTTCTGTCACATTTATACTTTCTACTGCAGATACTTTGCGACCCATCTTGTCTAGTAGATCACAGTTTGAATTCACTGAGGCTCAAAAACTCTTGCTTTAAAGCAAGTTACATTTTAATTAAAAAGTCTTCAGCTAACAAACGACTGGTACCTAAGGACGCCTCTAAATCTTTAGGATGTGGAAGCTATTGAATTCAAACTTTCACTCAGCTCTCTTAAACATTAAAGCAATGCTAAATTTAGGCATAAACTAATTGAGATATAGTTAAGAGCCTCACGATTAGTACGGGCGTTGAGAATATCAGTGAAGTAGCAGACGACATCTTTATCATTTATTTTACTGAAGATTAAACGACAATACATTTTCATGAATACAATCCGTCCCGGCATGGGTCGGTCTCCGGGTTACTTCGTAACCGTCGGGTGGGGAGGGGGTTAATATAATCTCACGGTTGAACGGAGTTTTTGAGAATAGCACTTCGGAGTTCTCATGCAAATGGTGGCACTTTGGGTGTTAATCCCTCGTTGTGCAGTCCTGGTGGGGTTAAGCCAAAATCGTTTCTATCATCAGTATATTTAGAAAGCGTATATATTTTAATTTTTTTGTCTTTAGATTAGCTGGTATGATTTAAACTAGTAGGGCATCATAATTGTATTATCTTAGGGTCTAATCAAGTCTAAATACTGCCCTACGTGTTATGGTGGAGGGAGGGAGTCCTAGATGGGTTTGATCCCTAGATTCCTGTGCCTAGAAGTGTTTAGAGTGTTTTGAATACCTGAATGGTATTATATGTGTGAAGTATAAAGTAAACAGGTTTAAAGAAAAAACATTGAACAGAGTACTCGCCTGGCAATTTTCAATTACATCTGTCGATGAATAAATACTTAAATGGCCAAATGGTTGCTTATTTTCCGCCTCTCTGATGAAGACCTCTATTTCGAAGGCAGATTTTACTAGAAGACCTAGCTCATTGCGCAGTCTTTCTATCTGGATTTCTGCTGCCGTATGAGGAGTAGATGTATCCTGTAGTTTGAATATCGAATACAATTTGGTATAAATAAAAGTACATATAACTAAATGCGTGCTCTATGGCTAATAGGTTAGTGAGCGCCTTTTACAATACTTTACGTACAATGGTTGCATTTTCGCAGCCGTCGTTTAATTTTTTTTTTTTTTAACGGGGTAATTGAAGGGTATCGAAACAACGATTCTGGTGGCTTTTCGGAATCTGGTACAAGAGGTACACCGTGGAAGACATTGGAGCCTTACCAAATGTTATCCCCAAAGACAGCAGAGGATATACAAGTCTACTGCAGGTAACTTCCACTGTGTAGATGGACCACATTTAAAAAAAATATTGCAACGATACTACAATATGCAGCAATTCAGCTGTCGATTGCTAAATCCTCCAACCGAGTAGAGTGCCTGCAGTGAGCTTGATAACTTAATCCGTGGCTAGCAAATGAAGGCCAGGCTTTTATTGTTTAAGTACAATATCTACAGTAGTGCAGCGGCTAGACTGATGCCTGTCGGCGAGAGGCTGTTGGGTTTAAATCAACATCGAAACAATTTTCCTGTTTTCCCAGGTCGACCTGGTCCATCTTCTTCGTCTTGGCATTCACCGGCTGTTAACTTCGATTAACATTTGTGGTTGTTCGATCACTTCTGGACTTCCAGAACTTGATTGTTGTTCACATCTGTTTTACAGATCTGACTTAATCATATGCAGACTGAAAGAAACTCCAGATTTGTCGACTCTACGACATGCTTTTGGGTAAGCAGTGGGGGGGGGGGGGGGGGTTGTTTGTATTTTTCTTACAATGGGAGACTGAATCACACACGGTGAGACCTAGTCAAAAAGTGGTAAGAGGAAATGTACCTGAGCTGTTTCTTTAGACCTCAAGATTTTGAAGAAAAAAAATAATAACTATTGCAGGAGTACCTTGGTTTCTAGGTAGATCTATGACTCGTTGCCAGTCACCGCCGTTTCAGGGCGTAAACTACACCACGTCGTCCACATGCTGAATGTTAACGACTAATGCCTACTCTTGTGCGAAAGATAAAGAATTAGCTTTAGCACCTAGGTTTCCAACACTCTTTCCTCTTCATACTTACCTTACTTGTTTCCCTGTGTGCAATTTCAAGTAAGGCTTGCATTAAAAAAATTAAAAACGCTTTTTTATGAACAATTGTTACATATAGTTTTAAAAATAAAACTTATGGGAACTAGTTACATTGAACCAATTAAAAGATTTGACACCAATCGTATAACTTACCAGTCTACCATCCTGGAACTCTAGACGACAGAAAACTTCCCCAACCTTGAATTTACTCTGCCCTAGTGTTGGACAGCATGCCAGTGTATCAAGTATAGGTTTCAAGACTTTAAAACCGCATCCACATCGTCCATCGAAGTCTTCATGGTAGTCTATCTCTCCACCGCGTATACTACAAAAACATAACTCTGGTTTGAAAAACAAAACAAAAAGTCAATAGATTATAAAAGCTACTGGAACCTCGAAACAATATTTCGCCTCTACCACAACGTCGATAAGTATATTATGTGGAAATAATGAAAGAAGGCTGCACTGTTAGCAAAATGCATATTCACTGCAAACAAATGTGCTGGAAACAGAGAAACAATACTGCACTTATATTACAACGCCTAACAGGACCTTATATGGAGAATTCGAAAGGAGAATTGGTGTACATTTTAGTGTGTACATTTGTAACTAAAATTTTCTTACTGTTCTTTGTCCTACTGGTATGCCCTAAAGCGTCGCAAAAAGAAAATATACATAATTTCCTGTCCTTCGCTAGTTGCATAGGTTAGGTTAGTTGCGTATTCTTTACAGGACGTGGCAGAACCAACCCCAGCAGCCTTTGGCTGTTGTGTTGTTTCTCTAGGCAAATTACGTCCAGTAGTTTGCCATTGCTTTCTGGACGGTTAGCTCCCTGACACCACTGTCGAAACCAAAGCAAGACGCATGGCCCGCAGCTGGGATCGAATCCGGCAACCTGACATTACGAAGCGTTCGCATCGACTTAGCCACAGAGCCGACCGCTAGTTGCATAGCTTGTATTAATGGCAAACCACTTTTCTGTAGAATCGCTTTTACTCGATCCACTCTATGTCTTGATCGGCCTCTGACTGGCAGCCGACTGTTCTTTTGTAGTGCTGTGATCACGCGTCTGTGGCTTAGGCGTTGTGAACGCGCTTCGTAATGCCAGGTTTGATCCCAGCTGCGGACCTTGCACCTTGCCTTGGTATCGACACTGGTATCGAAAGCGGACTATCCAGCAAGCGATGATCAACTAAAACACATAGCCAAGAAATGCTAGGGGTTGTTCTTCAACTTTCTGTAAAAGAATACGCAGCTTACACTCTGGGTGCAATTTCTATATTTGGAAGAAAAAAAAAATGTCAAATTGTCCTAAACTGTGTTTCTGTTTTACGCACACAGTCTCATAATTTACATAAAGAGCCGTGTAGTACGTGAGTTACACACGTTCATTTAACAGTTTACTAAAGAAAGACAAAATAATTTCCAGTCTACGAATTGATTGATTTGATCAGCCGCTGACCCTTAACTGCACCCAGAGCTTATGCAAAGGGTAGTCTGTGTCTGCAGCTACCCTGAGATATGACTTCGCCTGCAAAACCTTGTGCCTACCTGCAACAATGGGCAAACAAAGGATGTATCGCATACACTAGGGTGTCTTTGGTGCAACCCAGAATGACCCGCATAGCTGCGTTCTGTATGCGCTCTAGTTTGTCTGACTCTTTGAGACGGTAAGCAGTTCGAGGCAATAATGAACCACTGACAGGATCAGGTGCTGGTTTAGTATGAAAAGCATTCTCTGCTCTATGTCAATTGCAGCCATAGACTTAAGTGAGCTAAGTCCTTTTTGGCATCTTGTCACAACACTCTCCACGTGGTCCTTAAAGGACAGGCTCCTGTCAAATGTAATTCCCAAATACTCAGTTTTCTCTCTCTGCTGACATTTCTAACATCTATCATGAGACTTGGGACATTAACTTCAACGATTCTATTGTCTAGAGAACACCACCAAACAGACGCCTCTTTCTGGTGGACGACAGCCCTCATTTCTGTACACCACGCAGTCACTTTGTCTACTGTCGCTTGTAGCTCCTGGGCTGTTTGTTGTTCCCTCTCTTCCCCCTGCTATTTGAAAGTATATCATCTCCAAAAGTCAGTCTCCTTCCAACTCCTTGTGCTCCTAGGCTTGCAGTCTTGCTCGTATACACGTTGAAGAGCACAGGCAAGATGGCGAATCCCTGTGGCAGTCCTGAGGCCAAACTGCATGGTTCTGAGGTCCATGAACCCAGTCGAAGAGCAACCCGACGTGAATGCAGGACAGCTGCAACCCGATTCACCAGCTACCTTCTCCTTCAGTCATAAAGATGTCGTATCTCACTCTGTTATAAGCATCCTCGAGATCCAGTGCTACCGTAATAGTTTTCTGTCTGTTCTGGAACCCTTCATAGACGTCAAAAGCAAGAGTGGCAGCATTTGCCTATGTGTCCTTTCCTGACCTGTAGCTTCCCAGACATCTTGGGAGAAGCTTCCCCCTTTCCATAAATTCTTGCAGCTTTACAGCAACTATCTTCTCCAAGACCTTCCATAATGTGTTTTGTAAGGTGATGATTCTAAGGCCACTGAACTTTGAATGATCCTTGAAAAGTTTTAGTAGTGGGATTAGATAGTTGTGCACCCAGTCCTGTAGTATTGATGCTGTCTTAATGCTCTGGTTAAAACATACGCACACCATCGTCTCTACACATTGTTTCTACTGTCATAGGCCGATATTTTCTTTGCATCTGCCTTTGCAATTTCCGGAATTTCCTTAATGTTTTATCGCCTCCCATATCATTCCCAAAGTTTCCCACTTTGCTTTTTTTGGCCTCTGCAGAATAGCGCTTGAAACCTCCACCTTATCTTTTTTCACATTCTCCGCCATCTCCACCTCCTCTCGCGAGCTTGAGGGTGTGTGTCGTACTTTCTTTAACTGCTTCACTGCGGCTCTCTTTGCCTTCCACGCCTGTTCTACTTCTGGAGTCCACCATAAGGGCTGTAGAAAATTAGTTCTGGCAGTTCTGTTGCATGCTCCCTGTCTGAGGCATCCAAGTAGGTTGTTGGTCCACTTATACTAGAAAGTCGTGGTGCTCTCCTAGCCTCAACCTATGGGTTTAGAAATCAGGACTGAACATGGTAGGTGATCATTTCCATGGCCATTCAGGACAGTCCATTTAACATCTAAAACCGATGACTGGGAAACAAATGTCAAGTCAATGGCTGTGTTTGCCTCGCCAGACCTCATTGCCGTTCTAGTCGGCCTCCCGTCATTGATGCAGACCATACAGAAGTCAACAATGACCTTTGCAAGAGCAATTCCCTGTCGGTTTTCTCCGCTGCTGTCCTGTTCTCTGTTTCTCGCGTTGAAATCCCCACACATAAGTAACCTATCACCTGGTAACTTCTCCAATTCCTTGGGCCAGTTCCATTGTTTACTTCTGACAAAACATTTATGAGGTTCCAACTTAAACCAATAATCTCCACCTGTATCCCTTGAACCTCTCTTCCACTGTCGTTCCACTGGTTCAAGTCAAGCACCACATGCTTCACTCCTTCCTTCACCACCAGACCTTGTCCATGTCTCTCCTGTCCAGCAGGGTTTATATAACTGATGTAACCAGGGCAATGATATCTGTCTGTATTTAGCTCCTTGAGCATGATGGCATCAGAATAAAAAATTAACTGCTCCAGTACAGGACCTCTCTGCCTAGCACTCCGACAGTTCCAGTATCAACTCTCACATGATTAAAGCCCAATCTCTCCGCTTTTCGTCTCTTTCTCCTAGCACCTGCCCTCCTATTTCTATGCCTTCTTCTTTCCACATTCCCTCGTCGTCTCCTCCTGACTATCTCTCTCTCTCTCTCTCTCTCTCTCTCTCTCTCTCTCTCTCTCTCTCTCTCTCTCTCTTTCTTTCTTCACACACTG